CAGCTGAGGGAGGAAAGATAATAAACATCTCTGGCGGACATCAGCTGCTCGGGATGCAACTGACTCAGCCAGAAATGCGAGCGGAAATGCCTGGGTTATTCATCTTTTCATCGAGATATTTGAGCTATCAATGTAAGCCATATGTAATATTTAGCATTATCAATGCATCATCAATGAATGTTTTAGTTTTCTGCACTATCAGAATGTTATCATATCAGTTTACTGGCATTCTATGACGTTTTTCAAAGTGGAATGAGATAGTCAACTATTTGTAGATAATGTATAACAACTATGAATGCAGTTGCCAAGAGAAACTAGTAGAGATTTTCTCACAAATTGAATATTACAGAATCTTATTATACAATACGCACAATGAATGCAAATTTGCCAATCGCAAATAATTTGTCGTCACTTTTATACCATTTTTCTCATATGTCATAGAAATATTGTAATAAACTATAATAATAGCAAATAGCATATATAATTTTATTTGTAAAAATAGCTCAATAAAACAGTGTGCATTTTATGTTATTAGTTTTAAAGAAATCTAAAAAATACTTATATTAAAAAACTAGCGGGTATTACCCGGCCTTGCCCGTGGCAAGTTAAATGCTACAAATTTTGGATATACCTTTTCACCCAGTTTTCACCCGTGGAAAATTTAATTATTTATAATAATGAATAAATATAAATAATTTAATACCAGTACCATCTTGAGCTCCTTTCCTTCATTAAACCTTTGACCCGCCTCTTCCGTCCAAGAACTAAGGATATCGCAAAAAGCGCATCAAATAAATTTTAGCAAAGATCTCAGTCAGTCAGTCAATTAGTCAGTCAGTCGGTCTTTAGGTCCGTCAATCAGTCATTCACTCAATCACTCAGTCATTCAGGACAAACAGTATACATATATAGAGATATTAAAATTGGTTGCATTTCTCGCAGTAAGCTTTGATATTTCATTCCACCCGCAGTTGGGCTTGATATTTGATATTTTCAAGCAAATTAATGTTCAATATTCTTTAAAGCGTCAAAGTCTCCAAAATTTTCACAAAATACATACAGTATAAGAGGAATTCGGTTTGAAATGGAATTGAAACCGGTGGACATTATATTGGATACTCTGCAGGGTTTCGGGCGTCCAGTGAACGAGCGGGAGCTGGTCTGTGCGATATCGCATTATAGGGGCTTGCAGTTCGATGCGATGATGCATCAGGAGACTGAGCTGAGGGAGAATTTCCGGGAGCTGTGCAAATTTGGCTATATACAGCAGACCAAGCCGGGCTGGTACACACTGTTGCCGCTGCCCAAGAACTACGATCTGCTGGAGCCATACAACTGGAACAATATGGCCTATTCCAATCTGGACTTCTTGGACAGCACGGAGTCAGGGAAAGAGCTGCACAAGAGCACATCCGAGAGCGAAATATGTGATGCCTCCTATGAGACATTATGGGATTATATATCTTTTTTAAAAATTCACGAATCTTGCGATAAACGCAAATCTACGTCGCGCAAGGCAAGAAGGGTAAGAAACTTAAACAAAAAGAAGCCAGTACCAAAGTCAAAAATGGGCAGACCCTCGGCAGGCAAGATCAAGGCCAGGGCGCGAATGAATCTCAAGCTCAAAATCAAAAACATGTCCAAGTCAAGGTTAAGTCTGCTGCGCAAAAAACTAACAGCCAAAATGCGTGCCAAGCGCGCAAAATAATATATAAACACATGTGTAGATATATATTTTGGGAGAAATTCATGTTCGAATTATTATTCGTTTACACGTGTTGGCAAAAGGCAAAAGCAATTCGGTAAAGCAAATAAACGCAAACGAGCACATCCTGGCCAACAACAAACCGAGCTTTTCCTTTACTGCTTCCTTGTGGATACCCTTGTCGAGGGGATACTACGAATATGACATGGAAGATAAACAGGGCAAAGTACTTTCGAGGCCATGAGGAATCAGTATTGTTGATCAGCCTTTGGAAACCAATATGGTCAATGCTTGGGATAGGATGGGGATATATGTCAGAGCATATAAGATATAAGATTATATAATATAAGATAAGTCTAGCATTAGGATATATTAGATGGCAGAGAATATAAAATAAGATATAAGATTAGATAAAAGATGTAAGTCTTAATTTAAGTTTTGGATTAAAAACGTTTTTTCTGTGAAAAAAACGAAGCTTAGCATTTTGTAGCTTTAGCTCCATTTTCGCTGCCATAGAATAAATCCTTTAAAAGCTGAGTTTTTATACAAATTTTTCTGAAGATTTTAAAAATATTTAAGCCAAAATCGACAATTGATAAGATTTATGCTATATACATATAAGTATTTATACACAGTATATAATTAAAATTTTTCCTATCCCATTTCTGTATTTTTATAAAAAACTTTGGCTAGTTTGTCGCGACTCTAGGGTCGGTATTTTTATGCTTTAATAAGAACAAAATGCTTCTCTTCACTTTATATTATTTCGATATCTTAACCAGAGCCCCTTATAATAGAATCTCTTCTCTTCATAACATCCTATTTCTATATCTTAAACAATACTTTTTTTATTAGAGCACAATAAATCTCATTTTTCTTCCCAAACAAAGCCCCATTTTTGCAAGCGTATCAAATATTCGACTCTACATTTTCATAATTTTTCCAACTTTGTCTGGTACCGAAAATTTATGGTCCTTTGTTTGTCCGTCTATGCGCCTCGCATATTTTTCATGCAAAATTTGTTTTTGCCCCCGAAGCATTTCTCAACTTACCAACCAAAGCGCCCACACCTCATAACCGGCTACGACTGCCCCCTGCCACGCCCACCCCACCCCAGGACATTTGGTGTGTTCTTGGACTCATTTGTTCTAGGGGTTTGCCAAGTGTCGCAATCTAAGAACTTTGGCACGCTAATTTAGCGATAAGTTTCTTGAGTTGGGTTGCAAACAAAACTCTCGCTTTAAGGTTTAGCTCAAGCGCACCTGGAATTTAATTTTGATTATATTTCCTGTTGTTTCTATGCTCGCGACTGCAGTAGGTGCACAATTACTGAAATTCCTCAGGTGCCTCAGACGAATCAGTGAAATGTCAACGGCAAACAATTTTAATATGTCGCCAGTTTCAAGTGTCGCGTTCTATTGCGATAGACGAGCAGCCAAAACAGGACGACTGGACGACAGGACGACGGAACGACAGGTCGACTGTGAAAAGGACAAGCCAAGTGCGAAAAGTGACAAATTGCAGCAGCCGAGCACAAAAGAGAAAGAAACGACGAGTCAGGTCAAGAGGGTAGCGGCAGAGACAAGGGAGAAGAGAGAAGCGACAAGAGAACAGGTAGCACGGACTATGAATAGCAAAATGCAGCTATAGAAATGAAAGCGAAAAATGGTTAAATAATTCACAGCTACTTGGCCACAGTGAAAGCTGCCTATAAAAAACAACATGTTGACAATACGAAATGGAGCACGAGAAGCAGCAGATCCCGTCTATAGAGAATTTTGAATGCAACAAATGGAACTGCGAAAATACACTTTTGCTTTTTAAACAGAAAACTTGTGAGTTCTTAAAAGAAAGTTTAACCATTTTTTTTGGGCTCTCTCAAGCTAATTATTTTTGTTTACTATTTTTCTCGACTCAAAACATATAAATATAGATATAAACATTCTTGCCTAGTAAAAATTAATAAATAAAATATAAATTTAGTAAATTATTGAATTATTAATTGAGTCTCTCAATCGAATAGAATTACCATAATAATTTATATCCATATTAATCATGATTAGAGAGGTTTTTCATTATTTGATTCGTTAGTTTTTGGACTATTAATTTTCAATTCGCACATTTTTAGAATAATTAGAAATCCCTTTACAGTACATTTTTTATTTGTTAATTTTAGGCAATAACTCTTAACTTCGGTCGCTTTAAAACTTTGGTAAGTTAGAAACTCTATTTGTTATCAAAAGAAGCCTCATACCAATTATGAGGTTGAAATAAATTATAGATATAAATGTTTATAACAAAGGACACGCAAATGGCGCGTAAGGCAAACGAAGACTTAAAACCCCTTTTAAAATTAAATTAAAACAAAAATTAATAAAAATTGCAAAACACCCCAAACAGAAGTACTCAAATACAGAAGTTCCTCGCAAAAAGCACGCTTAGGTTTCTAACAATATTTCAGTTCCAAAATTTAACCCAATTTAGCCACAAAAGAGTATCGATTAAATAAAATAAACTGAGGCCAATTTAATGAGCTCTAATAAATTCTAGTATTCTCCGAATTCCTTACAAGAAATATAACCCAAAGTAAAAGTTGTCATTCAAATTCCAATTCTTATTATTGGACAACTCTTCTTTGACGAACTTTAAATTTCCGACTGACCACTGTCTTTAATTTTGAGATTATTTTATTTTCTTCTTTTTATCGTCAATATTAAAATGTCTATTTATCCAAAGTTCAGTTTACATAGTTCAGATAACTGCAAAAATATTTATGGGTTGGTATGAAAATTATTGAGACCTCAAATGACGGAGGCGGAATACAAAACGAGTTGCACAGTTATGTGAAGCGATTGAGGGTCGGATTTTATATATCTATGGATCTATGATAGAATATGAGAAATTATAAAGACGGGTTTTTCCATAGATCTATAATAGAATATAAGAAATTCTATATTCTGAAGATGTTTATAGATCCAATGATGAAGTATTGGAAAAAAATCTTCTAACGAACACCCCTAGTATAAGAACACCCCTATTATACGGACATCCTTCTTGGGCGGACACTTTTTCCAACTGTTATGAATCAAGGCATACCCAGTCCCCCCTCTTTTAGGCGGACACTTCTCTTGAGCGAACAACAACTACCCGACGATCGCCGTTTGTCCAAGAGAGTTTTCACTGTATCCAAAATGTCTAGGTATTATCTTACATAAATTAATTAATCGTTTCACTTGAAGAGAACAATTCTGATAAGATAACCTTGCCATGGCTGGGATTCAGGCGAGTCACCTACCTTTTGTGCCTTGCATGTGACATTGATGGACTGGACCTCGTGCGCCTGATGTCGCTGCTCCCCGATGCACTGGCCGCAGGCGGGCATCTTGCAGTTGAGACAGTACTGGGAGAGGGTCTCCTCGTGTTCGCCGCACACGGATTCGCGCTGCTGGGCGGCGCCGCGTGGCTTCACCAGCGTGTGCTTGGCGAGGGGGCCGCGTGCCGGGTGGCACAGCTCCCGGCACTGATCGCAATAGCGTATCTCGCACTGCTCGCAGATCAGCGAGGCGACCTTCGGGTCGGTTTCGCACATTTGGCAGCGCAGCGCCTCGCGGGCGCAGAAGCGATCGACAATGGCCTCCATGGCGCGATAGGTGGGCAAATTGCGCACGCCGCCGTCGTCGAAGAACACCAGCTTCCTGCACAGCGGACAGGTGAGGCAGTAGGCAGCGCCGGGTGGCGCCACAACGCTGCCCTGCAGCAGGCCCTGCAGCTGCCCGGTGCCGGCATACGAAACCGGCCGAGATGTGTTCGAGCAGCAGACGACGCCCGAGTCGGCCTCACTGAAGATGCTCACCTTGTCGGACTGGTCCTGGTCCGAGGTGACACTCTCGCTGCCCGTCGCCGAGCTGGCGGTGCTTGCCGCCGAGCTGTGCGAGCTGTGCCGTGTGCCCGGCCCCGGCCCGGCTGCTCCGTTGCCGCCAACCGATCCAACCGCTTGCCCATTGCCCGGCGCATGTAGTCCAGCTGTGGCAACGCCAGACCCATTGGCAACGCCTGCTCCATTGGCCGCCGCAGCGGCAGTGAGCGGCGCGCCCGGCGTGTAGGGCGTCTGTATGTCCAGGGCGCAGCCCAGGCACAGGGCGTGGAAACAGGGCAGCAGCACGGGATTCGCATACAGCTGCTTGCAGGTGGGACAACGCAGTTCGTCCTCCATGGTGCTGTGTTTATTTATTTTTTGTTTTCTGTGGGTTTTTGTGTGTTTTTTGCTCTTGGCGTTGACTCCGATTGGAATTGGCCTAGGCTAACGGTTAACTGCTGTTTGATGCGATTCGTTTATAAATTTAATTGTTGTTCACTCATTTTGCCAAATAAAATTAACTTTTGCTTTATTAACCGTTATTATTCTTTACACTTTACACTGATTTGTTGTTATTGTTGCTGCTGTTTCAACAATTTACGCTTTTTCTGCACGTTTTCTTCGCAATTTAATTCTCGCACACAATTCGCAACGGTAAATTTCACAAAACTCGCGCGTTTTTTCCTACAACACGTTTGTTAAACCGCTCTGCACGCCCGCTTGCCGTTAAACTTCGTCAAAGACTAAACTGTTAGGCTGCTGTTAAATGTTAAAGCATGCAATTCCGCCGCATGCCATACAGCTGCTGTTAGTTAGCATGCGTTCGAACGCTGCTTGCAGCCGCAACGTTTGACGAAACTTAACGAAACGACTGCAGCGCAACAACAGCGTTAGCATTTTACAGTACTAAATCGGTTTAATTCAAAATCTCTTATCAGTGCAAGGGAAATATGTAGTTGAGTGTTGATAAGGATAAAACACAATTTTTTTTATTTTATATTGTAGACAACAGCTGTTATTTATGTATTTATACCATATAAAGGGCATATTTTATATTGGAAAAATAAAATAAAATAAAAATAAATATATATATTGATATCAAAAATAAGTTTTTTGGATGAACGTTTTAAGATTATCACAACTTGTGAAAAATATTAAATTACCTTTGCATTCAACACCTTTTTAAAATACTGTAATTACACAGAGCAATTAAAATTTTTTTTGTTATTTATTTATTTATTTAAAAATATCAAAAATATGTCAATGTTTACGTATAAAGAAAAGTACCTACATTCACATTCCTTCAATTCTTATCCTTATCTTAATAACAACACATTATTAAAAACAGAATAAAAACTCCTGCACAAGCATGCTGTTAAGTTAACATGCTCATGTTGTTCGATCTTACCGCCTAACATGTTCGTGTTCGAGCATGTTGTGTGCTGCAACCAAATTGTTGCTGCACACGCCAATGTGTTTACATTTTTGTTGCTGTTGATGTCATTGCTGTTGTTGTAAACAGTGAAAAATAAGAAATTTCGTTGAAATTTGAAATGTGATCGCACAACAGCGAAATGTTAACGCTGCATTTGTAGGCCACAGTCGACACTTGTTTTGTGGGCTAAACTGCCCAATTACCAATGATAGATAACGTCCAGCGTATTTATCACACTCAAAATGAGCAACGCGACCTGATAACAAACAACAACACAAAAAACCAAAGTCAATCAACAGTCGATATCGATAGAAATACAAATAAACATATGTACACTGCAGGTATGCAGCACAGGTAAACTACAGGTTAACTGATAAGCGGCCGCTTGCAAAGACCCTTTCCATATGGCAACACGCCGCCTAGCCCAGCCCCGGCTAAGGTGTCGGAAAGTCGTGTATTGTGGCAACAACAATAACAACAACAACAACACACACACGATTGGACCAAGCGCTGCATTTGTTTGCCATCATCGCCGGCAAGTTTATTTAGACATCAAATCAGGCATTGAACGCCGGCGAATGGCCAATGGCCCGCTGGAACTTGGTATCGGTAACCGAATGCCGAATAGCCAGAGCCAGAGCCAGAGCCAAAGCCAAATCCACAGACAAACAAAACGCAATCCAAGGCGACCTGCTCCAAATGAGAATCGACTGAAATAACAAGAACAACAGCAGCAGCAACAAGAGTGCCCGACTAACAGATATCCTGTACTTAACAAAAAATAACACACTGCGCTCTCTTCTATCTTCTTTCTGCTGTTCTTCTTCTTCCATTAGGCCCTTCCTATGAAAAATGCCCTCTTAGATAACTTCGATGTTTACAGTCCGATCTTTATGAAATTTTTAGGCCATAAATATGGTAACCAAATGTGAGTACACAACAAAGCCCATGGACAAACTTGTTTTGGCTAGAATGGTAAGAAGCTATCTGGACCTATGAAGACTTTACTGGGTTCACATAAAACCTAGATTCAGATAGAACATACATACTAAACGAGCTTCTAGATATGCCAAGAAAAAATCAGACTTATGTTATCGATTCTTATCGATTCTTATCGACTGGGCAGCGATAAAAGATCATTAATAGGGGCCATGTTATCGAGGAGGCCATGTAACATACACGGTCACAAAACCATGACACCCTATGATGCCCATTTTATTGGGTACAGGGTATAGAAACGTGCGTAATCCGTTTGACTTAATAAGCCACGTTCTCAAATTGGGTTTCCTATCCACCTAGGTGTATCTATCGTATGGGGGGTGGGGACTAACCACGTGTTTTGACAGCTCACGCGGGCAACGGCATCTGGTTCCACTTTCAGGTATTTTTTTTCTCTCTCTCTTTACTCCCCTCCCCTTCCCTCCCCTCGCCGCTGCTGCCTAGTTGTCTATGCAAATATTGACATGCAACGCATTCGTTTGCGTAATTTGCCTCAATTTATTGTTGGACAAATGTTTGCTTTGGTTTTTCCTCCCCGTTTTCCCCACTTTCCACATTTTCCAGTCACTTTTCTCGATGCGTGTAATAAATCACCGAATCGTAATATCAGCCGAGGCGCCTAATTGCTTGTATTTGTCTATCTATTGATTTTAAGGGAATTTTTATGGGGTTAGAAGAGTAGAACCAAAAAATAAAATGCATACTCTTTTCTTTTTGGAATTTGTAAACATGATTAAAGTAAGTGCAATGGAAATTATAGAGAATTTTACAGGAAAATTTAGCAAATATTACAGAAGATAGCTCACAATCTTTCCATTCCGTGTGTCCGTCTATCAAAGCAAATTTATTTTAAAATTATTATTTTAATAAATTAAAGCCCGGCCTGAAATTAGTATTCAATGGAAAAAAAATATAAATAGGGAATAAATATTTAGAAAATATTGGAAGTAAATAGATAAAAAATAATAGTAAAAGAAGTTATAAATTGGTCTCATAGCTAAATGTTTAAACATCTAGTCCTTCCTCTTCTGAGCTCTTCCTTCCCCAACTAGAGACTATCTTTAATGCAATTACCTTAAGATATTTCCTATTCTATTCTCTTCCTTTTTTATTGCCAGTAATATTGAAATCCTATCGCAAAGTTATTTATAAAATACAAAAATGCAAATATTCTTGTTGCCGCCATTTCTCATTTGCTTAAATGTACTTGCCTTAAATAGTTGCTGTAAACTAAAGGATCAGCCGCTGGCCATAATTCACTTTTATATAGTTGCAAAATATTTAAAAACTTTTCGCACATTTACAGGCGGTAAGACCACCAAATCCGAGCCACACTTTCGCAACCATCCCCACTTACCTGCTCCCCGCGGCCAGCATATACCCCTCCCCCAGCCCTAGGCAATGGATTTTTGGCCTGCTTTAAGACCATATATCATGTCGTGTAACCAGTCGCCATGGCCAAGGACATTCACAATATGCGCGCATGCATAAAAACGCAATAATAACAGCCAAAATTTAAACTCACACACGCACACACACACAGACGGCCACACCCTCTGCGCTTTGTTGAGCCACCCAAAAAGGCAAAAATACTTTGGTCACCGCGGGTGTGAAATATTTTTTTTTGGCATTGCATTCACTTTTTCCCAAGCAATAAAAAAAGAGTATCAAAATTTTTTTACTGTTGTGTGTGTGTGTGTGTGTGTGTGACATGGAGCCATGCCCCAAGTCCCACGCCCCCCGCCCAGTACTTTCATGCGTTTTGTCGTGTTCCATGTGGCAACTGCGGCTGCATCAGACGCCGACGTCCGCAAAATCCACCAACAACAAAAGCATAAAAGCTCAACTATAATAACTAGATGGAGCATTATTATGGGCTATGCACGACTGGCAACACACTCTTTAAAAAGCTGGTAACTTATGGCAGTTTTTGTAGATTTTGTCGGACAATCGTGTGCGATATTTCATCGTATATATACGATATTCGAACATGGTAAATTTGGCCCACCTACGTAGTATGGGATCTTAACATTCTTTAAATCCCACAAGGATCGAAACCCTACTTAGTTAACTTTATTAATTTCTATAAATTTAAGTCATAGTTTTCTATATTTATCCGAGTGCCATGGGATCTTATAAAGATTATGCAGACCCCTGTAATAAAGACATAATTATTATTTCGCACTTTTACCAATACAAACAGAACATCTTAAAAAATGGTTTTGAAATTTTTCTTGAATAAATTAAACACGAAATTATTTAATAAATTCTTAGTTTTTAACTTTGAAGCATTTTTTCAATAATGGCTGCAGGTCCAATAAACATTTTCAGTGGTTTATGGGTTTCCTCATTTATAAGCCCTCCTCTATTAATCCAGGCTGAGACTCAAAGCTTGCTTCGTCAAATTTCTTTCAATTTTCACTAGCAATCTTCAACCGACATTTTTTAAAGAATTTTTTCAACCAAACCCTTTTCTAAAACAAGGTTCAGGCTCAGGTGCGACTGCTCTTTATTCCATCAAGCCGATTAAACGTTCCTTTCCTTCCATACAGTATATACCCTATTAAGTGCAACACTTATAGGGTACAATAAACAGGGTGGCACTGAGGAGCGACTGCACTGGGGATCAGTAGCTAACAATATGTAAAAAGTTTAACCAAAAAATGTAAAATGGAGTTGCCTTGTTTTTGTATATACGTTACATTGTGAAGCGCCAAGAGGCGTGGCACAAGCAGCGCACAACACACACACAACACACAACACACACACACGCATAATAAAAACTCCTTTTTGGCCCCAGGCGCACAGTTGTTGCTCCGCTGATGCTGCTGCGGCGCGCTGTTGTTGTCTGCTGGGCGGGCAGGATAACAACGCCAAATGAGATTAGGAAGGACATTCGCGTATTTAACACACACACAGATACACACACGCACAGCTGCTGGGGCAGCAGCAACCAGTAGGATATCCTGGCTGCCTGTTATGTCGAGCACAACCACAGGCGGTCCAATTGGGAGCTGGGCAACTGGTCACTGGTCTGCGCTTCACTGGGCTCCACTGTGGCTTTGGCCCTGCTTGCGGCCGGAGCAGCGTGGCAGCTTGGCAGCGTGGCAGCGGGGGGGTTGGTTAGGCGGACGTCTGCTAATATTGGGCCCCAAGTTTAGCGCCTCTGTTGTCATTGCAGGAAGTTGCAACAGTTTGAGGCACTGTAATTGCTTTTTTGTTTGTCGCTGCCAGCGCTTGTCGACTGTGGAGGGGGTGCGGGGAGAAAGCGGCAGATTCGGGGGTTT